TCCACAGGATGTGAGTAGGGAGTTTCAAGCAAACCTTGAAAATGATTGTTCCCCACCCGTGCTGTAAGAGTAAGTAGGGCAACAGAGGAGCCTGACTCAAATTCTTGTAAGCTCAGATAAACAAGAAAGTGCAGCTGTGGGCAGGAGCAGAAACAACCCCCTATCACCCCCCAGAAAACTTCGACAGCTTTCATATTTGCAATGGTCGAAGAGCTCAGCTAACAGACAGTAGCTCAATAAGCCACAACAATTACCTCCTCCTCCTCCCAGCAGCAGCAAAGTAACACATTTGCAAAGCCACACACAACCTGGTGGGCTGCTCAGCAGCAAGGATGTGCAGGACCGATTTCAGAGCACAAAAGCAAGGATCATCACAAAGGCTGCAACAACATCCTTCTGGGCTTATTTGAGTACTAGCCTGATAATCTGCCCTTGTCCAAGCTAAGGACAGCAGTGGGATTTATTCACTAAATATCCTGAATTTCTCCCAGCACTGTCTTTTTGAAACCAAGCAGGGAATTAGAGAAATCACATCCTCTTTTGTTGCTTAAGCATTCTTAATCTTCTATTATTTAAATTCCTTTTTCAGAACTTTAGTGGAAGCCAGTTGTTGGATAGCCGTTCTCCATTGCAGATACCTCAGCAGGGAGCATGGATAAACAGATTAGCAGCAAGTCAGTCTTTCAGCACGCCCTTCCGAGCCTTCGCTGAGATTGTGCAGCTCATACCAGTTCTTTGGCTGACCCTCTGATAGCTGAGAACTGCAACAGCCGTAAACACGTTGCACCCTTCTTTGGGAACTTCATGTCCATCATAGCAGCATGAACAGCTATCTTGTAGGCTGTTTAAATTAAGAAGGAAAAATCTCCCCCTCACATATCTTTTCTGAATTTTTTTTTAATCTCTTAACATAAATCTCACAAATGATGCCAAGAGGAATGCATGCCCCCAGCACATGGCTCAGGAGAGCACACACTGTGGGGAATTAAGGTAGGTAGGGAGGAGGTTTGCCTGTGATGCTGAGCTGAGACTTGTTTCCATTCCTCCCCATCTCTTAGGTCCCCTCCCTCTGCCTGACAAGACAGGGCAGAAGGTCCACCACAACACATAGTCCTCCTTCTCATGCATCAGAGCTTTGGTTATGTGCTGGGAATGGAATATCTGAATCTCATGTTACCTCAAGAGATGAGTCAGCAACAAATTGTCATGTCTTTATTTCTCATCTTAAAAATAAAATTGAGAAATTCACATGTAACTTCCCTCACCTTGCATACCAGCTCCTCCTCTCTTCTTACTCACCTCATTCCCTTTGCATTAAACCTCAGCCACTTAGTCATGCCTAAAACTACACTTTTGTAACCATGACGTAACGTGCCTCCTCTTATGAGTGCTAGAAAAATAAGAGTATATATTATATACTATATATATAATATTATATACATATATATATATATATAATAAAATAATATTTAAGCTTCCCTCCCTTCCTTCACAATATGGTTCATATATTCTTTACAGCTCCATGACCTAGAAGTAACACCACAAGACACAGTAAACAAAACTTGGAAACATTAAGGCTGCCTTTAGGGGGGAAAAAAAATAGAAAAGGAAAAATAGCAGGAACAATGAAGCTTGTCTGATCAATCAGAAAGAAGATTGCTTCTTAACTCAGAGGATTTGAGAGTAGCTTAAAAAATACTGGTTCTTCCATTCTTGTGCTCTCTTTTCTCTCTTGGAGGGTTACAAAAAGACTCATGTATAATGCATATCAGCTAACTACAACTAATCTGTGCAATGTCTGAGCCAAGACGCATACCTGGGTGAGCCTGCTGAGAGCCAGTCCATGTCGGAGCTGCATTTCATGTCTCTGACACTGCTGCATTTGTTGACCAGCAGTGGCTTCTTTCACTTCTGCATTACAAGACCCCTTCAGGCCTTCACTGTGTGCCAATGACCTTTCTCTGCATCACAAGTAACAACAGGCTAGTAAAAACTCGGAGACAGGCGCAATATCAATAGGAGGGATATGAGAGACACTGGCCATAACTATTAGGGGCCATTTCTGCTTCTCTGAAGGTGGTTTTCTCTGCTGGGGGAAAGCTGCCTGCAGCAGAAGCTGCTGGGGCTGCTTGCCAGAATGCCACCTCTCATCTCTACGGGGCTGTGAGGAGCAGCACCCAACCTCAGCCTCGCTCGTTACTCATCCTACCTCTTACACTTAGGCTCTGCCTCTCAGAGCTTGCCAAACCTCCTCTCGCTTCCTGCACTTCTGCTGTAGAAGCAGCACTATTTACCCCACCAGGGTAGATAAATAGGATGCAGCATCTGATATGCATCAACCACGAAAGCGCCCATCTCCCTCAAGCAGCTTGCTATGCTCGGCACATAGCAGCATGAGTGTTTCTATGTCATGCAGGCTTGGCCAGCTGCACACCCCAGACATGCAGGCATTGCCTGGAAAGGGTTCAGTTAACCATGAGAGTTGGTGTACCTGCACTGGACTTGCTGGATCAGCTCGGAGCTGGATCACATAGGAATAGAATGCCTGCACCTAGGAAGAAAGGCTGCGAACCACAGAAGACCCCAGGCAGTAGGAGCTGATCAGAAGGTGCTTCACAGGAGTTACTCTGGACTCATCACTTCTCAGCTGTGCTCTCTACAGAGAAGTTCCCTGGAGTGCTGTTAAACACTGCCCAAGCCCTGCAGTACCTCCACACGTGGCCCAGGCTCTTCCATCAGGAGAGAGAAGCTTGGCCTACATGGACAGCTGGGATTGTTCAGTCTGGAAGAGGCTCAGAGGAGACCTTGCTGCTCTCTACAACTGCTTCAAAGGAGGCTGTAACAGGGTGGGAGTCAGTCTCTGCTCCTGGGTAACAGCAACAGGACGAGAGGGAGCGACCTCAAGTTGTGCTAGGGCAGGTTCAGGCTGGATATTAGGAAACATTTATTCTCAGAAAGAGCAACTCTTTCCAATGTACCACCACTCTTTGAGTGTGTTCACTCTCTCAGTCACAGAAGCATTAACAATGTCATCATTAAATAGTTATAAAGAATTTCATGTTAACATTAAGCAAATACTCCAATTAGTGAACAGCTTCTTAGACAGATAATTAAACTGATGGCTTTAATAAAGCTTCTCCCACAAGCAGTCTGTGAATCAACCCTGTGCAGTTTAAAATTGTATGCTTCTGTCACGACCTTACTTTGAATCTTCAGTCACAGCCCACGAGCTCAGCAGTGGATTTTCTACGTTCAGGTTGAAGCGATGTTTGAGAACGGGATCGCAAGGCAGAAGCACACGTGTTGCTGACATCTGTGCTGCTGACTCAACGCAGTAGCAGCTGCTCTCTGACTCAGGAGCAAGGCTAACAGCTCATGGATTTGTCCTACGAGGAAAGGCAGTCTGTCCACCTCAAGAGACCCCAGCCAGATCTACACCATCCACTTCACCACACCACTATCTCTGAGACTCGCAGGTCTGCATTCCTGTCAGCACATCAGATAAAAATGTTAACAGATTCTTGTCCCCTCCTGATGTGCAGTGAGAGCAACTGCCACATCCTGCCCCAGAGCTCAGGTTCATGGCTGAGATGCCTTGTGCTGATTTATACAAAACTTTGGGAGCTTTTCAACCCTTCACTAATACAGCACTAGCAGAGTGCATAAACTCAGCATCAGTTTCCTTTGGGTGCTGAATGTTCTTTATCTCTCTAAGCTGTTCATCACCAGCAAAGAAAGGGAGAATACAGTGTACTCAGAAATTGCTGCAAGCATACAGATGTATAAAAAGAGATGCACAGTCACTCTTCAGATGGATGTCTAGAAAGCAACACAGCATAAAGAGCAACCAGAAAAGGGAAGAAGCTTCCAGCCTTTCCTTAAAAGATTCAGTCCAACACCTCTGTATCTGTACTAAGAGGTTTGTCCCTCTGATAGCAGGAGACAGGTGCAGTGGGAAAGCATCAGCTAAGCAAAAAAGATTCCTAACCATTGACTTTCAGAGGCACTTTCCTTCCTCAGAAACGCAATGGAAAGCTCCACCATGCAGCAGGGCCAGTTGTGTGAGCAGAGGCATAGTGTTCACCTCACCTGGCTGCACCAACAGCCTTGTCCACTCCTGGGTTTCAAAGAAACATGCTACCACAAAGCAAGCAAACACAGGCCACACACCACAGAGCAGAGGACAGCACCAGAAAAAAGGAAATAAACGTTACGTGCTGTGGGAGAACCACTGTTTGAATTACAAGAAGCCTGGACCACAGGCAAAAATGATGCAGCATAGCCTTTTTGTACTGCCTAGTGACAACATGGCAAGTTGAGGTTAATCCTTGCAAGGAAGAAGCTTTGTGGACCAGTGCTGGAGCGAGCAAATGTTATTTAACACTAAGTATGACTTCCTCTCTTCACCCCTCAGACTGCCATGTGAAGTGCTGCTGGGGCTGGCAGGCACAGAGAGGAGCGTGGTGCTTTGGGGGATGGCAGCACTTGTGTTCAGCAACCACTGTTCTGCCCCCAAACACTTCCACACCCAGCCAAGACCTGCGGGTGGGGAAAAGCTTGTGTCCAGCTCCAAACACCACTACCTCCAGCATGCAGGGGAGAGCTCCCAGCCACCCACATCCAAACCAGAACTCGCAAATAACACCCAGAGCAATACTTACAAAGCACAGGGGCTCTCCAAAACTTTCCACCAATATTTCTCTCAAATTGAGCTCAACCCTGCATTTCTAGATCAGTCCTCTCCCTGACGGTCAAACAGGGCTTGAGCAGACAGCTTGAGCAGTCTGAACTGACCGCCTCACACCTTCCTGATCCCCAGATCTCAACAATTTTCGTTGCCTGAGAGCTCATGGCAGGGACCCAGTGCCCCACCAGGCAGGGAGCAAAATTTTCTGGCACATTGCTAGAGATAGAGCAGGGTCCTGTCCACCGACCAAAGGCGTTCTGGGCTTTGGCCATTGCAAAAACCTTCTGTCCCACATAATGAGAGTACAGTGCCATTTTCTAGAAAAATATATCTTTATTTACCAGGAGAGAGCATCCCATGCTCAGCTAGGGCTGGTTTGCTCAGGTCCTATCAGTGAGAATGGTACCTGGCCCCTTATGCTGTACCCACCACCATAGCATGGGGAGGATTCAGCAAAATCTTGTTTTCTTCAGAGGGCCAGGACCCCTCAACAGCATCGCCACTTCCAGCACATTCCTTGCAAGGTGAGTTAAATAAAGGGGTGGGGATATTTTTTGGGAAGCGAACAGTCAATAATTTAACACAAAACAAACCTACCATGCTTAACAAGCCAGCTGGTAGGTGGGTGCCTGTCAGACAATTTACAGTGCCAAGTGTCCAGGTGGGATGGGCAGACCATTGCTCAGGGAAAGCAGCCTGAGCTCACTCCCACATCACCACCCATGGTGTGGCACAGCACAATTCAGACTGAGGGGCCTCCTGGACACAGGCCAGCTGTCCCCAAATGGCTTGAGCTCACTGGGGGCACAACAGCATGTGTGGGCCAGTGCTGCTGAGGCCCTGACGCTTTCTCAGGCAGCAGAGTCTTCTTGAGCAAGTAGTGAGTTTCAACAGGGTCTTTGATGCACTACATTTCAGGGTGGTGCTTTTATTCAGAGGAAGAAAACGCATGATTCTCTTCAGATAGCCACAGGACAGCCCAGGTGCTTCCTAGAGGTCTGGTTTCAAGTCTTTACCTGTTGCTTGAGCCTTCTCATGCAGAAGGCTGAAACGTGGTTTCTTGATGGGTTTCCTAGAGTGAGACCCTGCTTTGGTTTTGGCACTGTTGCCTTTCAAGTGGCCGTCATACCCTGCATGTCCCGGTGTGTGGGCTGCTGCCAGCCACATTCCAACAGCACCACTTAAAGCTTAAATAACCCAAAGAATGTCTTGGATTCCTCAAAATTAACCAGATCAATTTTGGAAACGTTGACATACAGACTGTCCCTCTCCCTGAGCTTAAATAAAGCCCCCAGGTAGCTTTTCCGGGCCCACATTTTCTCCTTTGTACAATAGTTGATGCGCTTGTCCTCCATCAGCACATGGCTGCCTGGTGAAGCTGGGTTTCTCTTGTAGACAACGTGGGTCAGCACCTCGTTGTCACAGTGCCTTCCCCGGAAGAGCACATTGGAGTACACAAAGTACAGACCAGTCTCATTGATCACAAGGCCCTGGGCACGGTACTGAATGCCACTGGTGAAGGCATGACCAGAGATGGGTTCCCACTCCAATGGGAGGTTCCGTTGTGTGGGGTTCCCTGGAAGCCAGAATGAGAGTGGAAGTGCAGTAAGTACAAGCATTAACATGTTTTTCCTTCAGTTACACCCCAAGTCACAACCAAGTTCTCCATGTCCTTGTGTGCAGCATGAAAAGTCTACCACAACCTCACGGAGGTGGGAGCTCTTGCCTCCCATGTGCTCAATTGGCATTGAGCTGCTTTTGAAAGCACCTCACTGACAAAAACAAAAACCAAAGGAAAAAATGGAGCTCTCATTAAAAAGCCCGAATAAGAGGAATATTTTAGAAGTGGAATAACTTCAAGTAGCCAGTGCACACGCACTTCTAAAGGAAAATGAGAAAGTCTGTGCGAGGCAGCTCCTTACAATGACAGCCAAGCTGCCCTTTCACCTCGGTAACATCTGCCCTGTTCTCTGCTCCCAAATCTTGCTAGCCCCTCAGCACATACCTGTTAAGTGTGCTGCCTTCCTTGCTTCCTTTTTCACTGGCTTGCTCCCCTGCCCTGAATGAAAACAGAGGAGACTTTAGCCATATGCTCCATGGAGAAGCCAGACCAGTGAGAAGAACAGAGGCATCCGTGAGGCTAAAGCAGGGTAGATTCCCAGCAGCAAAGAGCACACAGGCACCATGGCTTGCTGTAAAGAGATAGAAAGATGCTCAGCCAAATGCTACAGAACATTAGGAGCGTCGGAAAGGAAGAGGTGAAGCAGAGGATCAGATGTGATCCAAAGCAAAGGGAAAAAACAAGAGAGCAAGGAAAGTTTTCATCTTCAAATGGCTCCACCAGCGAACTCAAGCAGAGGACATTCACTCAGGTTTTAGGAGCGGGATAATACTGGGCCTTTACGTGGCATCCTTAGTCTGTGTCAAGGCGACTGCTTGTGTCCCGTCACAGACATACCTGCTTTATTGCCCCACTCCAGCCCAGCACTTCCACAGCAGCAGCAATCTGGCTGCCAAGTACCAAACCTTACAGCTGGACCAGAAAAGCTATTTGAGACATCCTGAAAGCACTGCCCAGCCAGGCAGACCCTGTCCTCAGAGGGGCGGAACACGGGTAAGAGAATTCTACCTTCCATGGAGGGTCTGAGTCCTCCTAAAGAAATTAGGCTGGTTACAGTGACTGGGCATGGGGACTCCATCCTACTCTATCTTGCCCTTTCTCTCAGTGTCTACTTCTGAGCATCAAGTTCTCAGATTTTAGAAACATCTTGTTTTCTTAAGCCAGTTATTTGGCCTTCTTTAAAAAGATTTCATCGCTAATAACACTAACACAGAATGTAAAATAACAGTTTGAAAGTTCAAAATATGATTTTAAAATTGTTCCATTGAGACTGAAACCACTTTTTCTTTCCTCTAAATTTAGGAAAAAAATGTAGGTCCTCTTGGAAAGTTTCAATTTCAGTGAAAAGACATTTTTTAAAGAGAATAAAATCACCATAGAATCAAGATCTTCTCATCTAACTTTGATTGCAGCAAGTGAGACTCTGTACCAAAAGAATTTAGGATCAAAATTGCTCTCTCTCAAGGGTACAAGCGGATCTTCCACTCCCAAGGAAACAAAACTCTCTATGTCATCCAAAAAATCTTAAAGAGCAAAGAGAAAAAGTAATAACATGTGCATCTCGGTTCTCTGCTCTCCTCCTTCCATGCACGCTGTTGCAGTGCATTAGAACAGCCAGAAATTCACTTCCATAGCAGAATCCCTCCCAGCATCAGTACCCCACTTGGGTCTGGGAGGCCCTAAAGCAGAAGCAAACTGTTCCACATTGACACCACTAAGCAGGATGCAGGATCCCCTCCCCGCGTGCTCTTCTTCAAGCCAAGCAAGTGTAATGAGCACTTCCAGAGCATCAGAGCTGCAGCCCTGCCTTTGCACCTGACAAGGGGAGGGAAGAATTTGGCAGGAACATTCACATGTGCTGACAAGGAGGAGTTCCTCTACGTACATCAACTCACCTATGAGCTTCTCCAGGGCTGGAGGGATGTGTTCAGTGCTGACAGACTGTCAAAAGAAGAGTGACAAGCTCGCTTAGCAGGGTGAGAGCATAAAGGCAGCCAGACTATCTCAACAATGGCCATTGTGAGTGCTCATGCAGAGCTGCAAGGTTAAGTGTAAAGGGAGAGAGAGCCTGCAGCACTCAAACATCAGAACATCCAGATATGTACCATAGTCACCAACAGAGCAGTCCTCCACAGTAACAAAAGCCCCACGCACACTGGCATGGCAGACATGTCACTGCCACCGGTTTCTCCCCACAGCCTGCGTGGCCAGCAGGCAGACTTTACCTCTCTGAGTTCAGCCAGTTCCTTCTCCAGGTGGAAAATCTGAAACATGCTCAGCCCCACTCCAGTGAGGGCCAGCAGGATCAGCAAGAAGATCACCAGGAAGCTGACGCTGCTCCTTTCTCTGTTGCTCTTTGGCTTTTTCCTCCGATCAGGTACTGGTGGTGGGAAGGGAGCAACAGGGGATGCCGGATGGCAGGAGGTACTGGCGTCGGCACAGCCATCCACCCAAAAGATCTGGGGATACATATAGTTCAAGTTCTGCTGCACGGCTGGGAGTGGGATGGGCTGGACGCGCTTTGTGTGATCTTCCATGTGGCAGCCAAAAACTGCCGAGGCTGGCCCAGACTGAGCCCTGGGGGAAGACCCAGCTCTGCTTCTGTGTGCCTGCATCATCACTCCAGCAGCGATCGCCCAGCTCAGATGCTGCAACTCTATGAAAGCCTCAAGCAGCAACAGCAAACCCCAAAAAGCTTCCGCCCTCGGCTGCAAGTTCAGGGCACCCGCCTGCTCCTCCCACACTGCAGCAGCACGCACATGCAGCAGGACAGAGCTGGTGGCAGGCTGCATCACACAGCACCAGCCCCAGGAAGGAGGTGTACAGAGCAGCACGGTGCTGTCAGGCAGGGGCTGAGTAATCAGCCAGCCACCCTTTCCAGCAGCCCACTCAGGCAGAGGCAGCTGCTTTTCCACTGCGGTGTCCTGCACCACAAGCAGGGGGAATAACATACTCTTCTGCTTCTGGCATCCTGCACGAGAGGTGAGAGGCAGAGCTGAGTTTTCGCCTTAGCAGAAGTATGAAGATCTTATATCAAGTACAGTAGCAGGCACTCAAGAACTGCTTCGTTTTGCAAAGGACAGATTACTTACTGCTGTCTGCTGTCCTCTTCCAACTTGAAGCAATAATAGAGAGGGCAGTTCTGGTTGCTTTTCAGTCTTCTCTGAACAATGGTGAGTGCTGCAGCAGGACCTCACCTGGCTGGGTGACTGATCAGACACTGCACTACTCATCTTGGTAGAACTTCCTTGTCTTTCAAGGAAGGATTCAGAGTTCAGGCACACTGCAGGGACCAGCACTTTTAAAGGCTCACTGCCAAATCATGAGGAGAGAGAGCATCTCCATTTCTCAATTTAATTAAGTCTTCATTGGCTGCAGATTTCTAAGTAGTGGCAAGGAGCTTTCCCATAAATTTACCATAAATTTACACAAAAGACTAGCTATTTGCTCTTCCATTTCACAGACATAATGAAGTGAGTGCATTTGTAGGAGGACAGTGTTCAAAAAATGAAATGTTTAGTGCAAGAACAAACGGAATTTTTGTCTCTTATGTGGCTGAAGAAAGCAGCCCCAACACAAAGGTTTTGATCTTGAACATCAAAATCTGGAGTTCAAGGTTAGCATGCTCTAACAATGCGTGCACATTGGTTTCTCCAAAGCAAGGGCTGAGCTGTACCTCCAACCACACCAATCAGTCAGATGTGCATTACCAGCCACCCCGCTGCTTTTTGAGAATGTTCACCGCAGCCCCTTGCTGAAAAGGGAATCCACAGCACAAACCATTTCAGCAACCTCTAGGGTCTCGTACTTCTACTCTTTGATGCAAAAAATAAAAGCAATTGAAATTCACCTCCATCAGTTCAAGCCTACTCAATACTCCTCAGAGCGCTGAGGACACCGTGCCTGTGACTCGCTGCAAAACAGACACAGGTGCCAGGGAGTCCCCATTTTTTAATGTCCTCTGAGGCCCTTCAACTGCTTCAAAAATACAAGGGGCAAAGTTGAGAGCTTCCTCCCTCCTGAACTCTCTCTTCAAATCAGGCACTCTACCTTTCCCCCAGGTGGATGGTCAGGTGTTTGAGGTGTCTTCCCCCTCCAGGCTGACCCCTACACCCTTTTTCTGACACTGATTAAATTCAATGCAGACAGCTCATCTTGGTGGGATTGTAGGCACATGAGCAAGATCCCTTAAATATCACAGATGTGTTTGTCACTGACCCACTGCTTCCTATTTTCACAAAAATGCACATATATTTTTGTAATTTGTGGGTAAGCTGATGAAAGCCCTGTTTCAGCTGTGCCTGCTGCATCTTCTCTATTCAGATCAAGAGCCCTCTAACACCACATGTTGTGGCAAACTGAAGACCAGGGTTATTTTACCATCAAAGAATCCATTTCAGTGCTGAGCACACTTTCAGAGACTTCTCCCTTCCCGGCACTCTCTGCCATTGCTGCCTGCTGTCACACTCTCCATTTCACCTGTGGCCACCTTCAGAGCTCACCTTGAAAGCAGTGCCAAGTGGGAGCACATCCACGTGGCACATTGTGACACCTGCAGGCTCTGCTTTCTGCTGGCTTCCTACTCCTCAAACCATAGACAGGGTTAACAAGGATTTTGAAGTGATGGCAGGACTGTTTGCTGCAGATAGACACCCATGTGAAAGCAAGCTCTTTTGATAGAAAGCAAGGAACCAAAATTTAGGCAAAGTTGATCTCACCCAACATAGGAGTCAGGAACAGTTGAGCAGGATAAAAGGATAGAAGAAGGGCAAAAAGGGCATTGGATTTCTCTCTCTGCCTCCTAAGCCCCCCTTTCACCAAGTTTGTCAGCAAAGAACAGCAAAAGACAAGACATGGTTACACAGGCAGAAGAAGAGAACTTGCTCAGAAGGATCCCTCCATCTCTCGCTACCCCCGAAGGAAAGGTGGGAGCTCTTGTTAATTGCACACATCATCAGGCTGAGGTTTGTGCTGACAGCAATTAGATTTAGCCAGCAGCTAAAAAATACATACAGGTACAAGTTTGCATCAATACATTCAAGGATTTAAAAAACAATTAAAAAAATGCTGCGTAGGAGGAAGACTTATTAGGCTCTGGACATAGTAAAATATGTATTTGAAGATGATATTTCCTGTTACAATAATGACTAGTAGAAATGCTAAAAAGCAACTCTTGAAAGCCCACAGGGCCGCAGAAATTACACCCAAGAGCAACTGAAGATCTAGTTAAGAAAACGAACAAAAAGACAGCATTCAAAGGTAGGGTTGTGTTTGAAGCATTAACTCCAGAGGTGACAAGCTTTTGTTGTCCCAGGCTAAGCCTAGCAACCAGAGCCAGACCAATACTGGTAAGCACCAGCCACATACGGCAAAACGGATGCACCTTGTCCATGCTCACTAATGGGTACTTCAGAAAGAGTAACCACCCAAGAGAAGGCTTCTGGGTTTTTTTTGCAGCAGGGAAAGTGTGAGGGCCCAGGAACTCAAGCTCGCAGATAGCACCAGGCTAACAAATGGGGAGATGCAGACAGCCTCAGAATGCATATTGCAAGTTTAAATTCAGCTTCAGAGAGGCTCAGAAAGGAGCGACAATAACCGACAGACAGCAGAAGCATCCCCTTGGTTTATGTGAGAGCAGAATGGCAGAGACATAACTGAGGATCCTACACAGCTCCATAATGCTCCCAGCTGCCTCCCCCCCATATGTTAAGGCATGAGCATGGTGGATCCCACTGCACTTTCCTCATTTGCTCCCCCCCTGCTCCAGAACAGCCCGTGGAGACAGCAGCGGCTCACAGCATCCTTGGGTTACACAACACTGCGGTGAGTGCCGACATCTCAGTGTTGTTTCTTTATTACATGTTTTTTTTAACAGTTCAGCTTTCCCAGCCAAGGGTGATGCTTTCCACTTCCCTCTACAGTCAACTCTTCACTAGAAACATGAGGTACACGCTGAGATGCGTGCTGGTACCAACAGCTCCCTAGAGAGCTGTTCACATTCACAAGAGAGCAGCATTCAAACGCCATTTCTGACAGCTCCATGGCATCGCAATGCTTAGCACAGCCCTTTTCCAGAGAGCAAGACAATTTTCTCTCTCTTGTTCATTAAGCACATGCAAACTACTCCCTGCTCCCAACGAGCACTGGGATCAGCAGAAGGGGCACTGAGCTCTGTAGGGCCCTTTCAAGGCACGACAGAATCCAGCAGCACAAAGAGCCAGTACAGCTGAGAATTGAAAGCAGCAAAGTAAGATCCCATTTCTTTTGATTGAATCTGTAATAAAAGCAAGGAAATTAAGTACAGGGCTATGAGGTAATGGGATCAATTGCTTGAACATACGGGAAACAAAAACATAGGTGATCTAATTGTATGCAAGAGCCTAGTTATGAGAAAATGGAACAGCTGCTGTGGCTGCTCAGAGGTTGCAAGGAAGACCACAGCAAACACGCAGATGCTGATTTCCCGTTATCCCCATGACAGTCAATAAGTGCGTTCACAAACCCTTAGGTGGGACCCACACCCTGCCCCATGCTGCCAGCACACAGCCAGCCTCAGCAGTGGGAAACACCAGCTGGTTGTCAAACACCGACCATGCGTGTGTGGTAGCTCCCTGGGCAGTGCATGCAACCCTCAAGTCAGCAGTAACCCTGCCATGTTATAACTAATAAGAGATGTTCACAAGCTGTTTCAAGTTATTTTTTGTAAGAATCATAGACAGATTCTTCTTTGCTGTGAGAATGCAGAGGATCCAGTAGGATGCAGGCTCTGTACCCAGCATGCATCTAGCAAAGAAAAAACTAGCATCAAGACAGCCAGCATTTATCTTCCATTTTTATGTCCTATAGAGTCAAAGAAATACAGAATGGTTGCATTGGAGGGGACCTTAAATATCACTGACCCCACTCCTGCCATGGGCTGACTGCCCCGAACTCAGGCTGCCCAGGGTCCATCCATGGCCTGGAGCACCTCCAGGGATGGGGCACCCACGGCTCTGGGCAGCAGTGCCAGCATTTCGCTGGCTGAGTGAAAAATACCCCTCTAACCTCTAATCTAAATCTCCACTTTTAGTTTAAAGTCCTTTCACCTTGTCCTGTCATTATCTGCCCATGGAAAGTTGGTACCCCTCACCACTTGTAGGCTCCCCTCAAGCAGTGGAAGGCTGCAATGAGCTCTCCCCACAGCCTTCTCTTCTCCAAGCTAAACAAGCTCAACTCCCTCAATCTTTCTTCACAGGAGAGGTGCTCCAGCCCCCTGAGCATCTTCATGGCCTCCCCTACACTTGCTCCACCAGCTTCACATCTTTCTTGTGCTGGGGCCCCTTTTATTATTTTTTAAATTGGGGAAGAGATGCATAAAAAAGACTCATGATTTTTACTATCCAGTCCTAAGCTAACCCATTTTATCTGAAAAAGGTCTGGAAACATTAGATCTTCAAGCTGATCCAAACCCCCAGTAGGTTTCTTTTCTTTAACAACACCTGATGCTGTTTGACACTCAGGGTTTCCACAAGATGAGACACGCTGCTTGATGGCTGCCTACCCACAGCACTTTGTGGTCAGAGCTCTACGCTTTGTTCCAAATGCAGTGGAACATCTGTACCACAGTGAAGCACGTTAAGCTGTTCCATCCCATCTCACACTGCACACTGGCAAAAGCAGAAGCCAACTTACACTACAGCTCTCTCCCCACCAATACCACACAGCTGGTGGAGTTCACATATTTAAAAGAAACTGTATTTCCACTCTGATGCTTAATGCATATAAGCAAGATGTCTTATTTCAACAAACATGGCTAGCAATACCTTTATATGATGCATATGTTTGTGATTATGCCTTCTCTGATGGAAACATTCATGTTGCTTAGGTATTTGGTGCCCCTGGGCTTGCATGAAGGGATCATGAAAGTGCTCCAAGTACTTCTGTGTGTGACAGCTTTTTGCAACAGGAAACAACAGCTCTCTGTGCTCTGACAGGCTCCTCAAGGCGACTGCCTGACCTGCTGGCTGAGTGTTGTGGTTTGTCTGTACAACCACCTCAGCACACTGAGGTTGTGGCAGAGCTCCAGAAGCTCAAACAGCTCCACAGAACTCCCACCAGCATCCTGCTCAGTGCTCCCTCCCTGCCATCACCTCTGCAGATGTACTACATCTATGTCCTAAAAGATGAGACCCTTGGTTTCCATAATTAAGCAGCCAGATTTCTTGCTATACAGGCTGCTGCCAAAGTCAACTTAGTTACACTGAGATATGCTTTAATGCAAAAGCAATTTCCTCATGGCTGTTCTAATCTGGTTTTGTTTTAAGCAATATAATAAATAAGGTTGGCACAATGTAACTCAAAGACTCCAGAAATCCGCAATGAGAGCCAGGAGGCCAATTCCATTTAATAACCACTTGGTTGGAAACTGAGTTGGTTTTCGCTTGTTAGTTTCTAAAACAGGGCATCTAATTTAAGAACAGTTTAAAGGGTAAAGAAAAAAATCTTAGATAAAACAGCAGTTGGACACTCTTCTCTACATGCCTGAATCTTGAGAAGCAGCCTGAAGGAACACTGCACTCCAGTGGAAATCCTGAGAGCACACTGCAGGAAGCGGAAAGCAGGACAGGTGCTTGGGCAAGCTCTGAGCCACAGCAGAGTTGAGAATGATCACAGACTGAACACGTGCTGGGGAGAAAGGATACAGTCCTCACAATATGCATGCTGCTTTTGTGGCATTTTACACCACAAAACATACAAGATGGACCAGGTCCTCCTCTGAAGTATCCACACTGCCCCAGTGATTTGTCAAGCTTTAAAAGCCACCTTCATGAGAAAGTGCCACTTCTATAGAGCATAAACAACTTAGGAGAGCCTTTATTTCAAAGAAATCAGGTTAGTCAGTGTGATATTAATAAAAGTGAAATAGGAAGCTAAAAATTACTCAAGAGCCCACATGAAAGGATAACATTAAGCAAATGAGAACGTGATTTTAGGAGCTTTTTTGAAAAAGAAAATAAAAAAGTGGTTATAAATAATTAAAAGCAGCAAGCGCAGCAAGAGGAAGCTGTGGTTCAGTTCCATCCTATTGCCAGAAGCAAACACACAGCTGCAAAAGCACAAGCAGTCCAGGAGGTTCCTCCCAATGGAGCTTTTCCAGCAGTTAAAGCATGATGTCGTCAGTTGGAAAGTTCAGACCAAGACATAGCTGAAATGTTTGGTAACAGTAATGAGAATATGGAAAGTTGCTCCTCAACTGACATGCACCAGCAGTGATCCTAGGACAGAAACATTTTATTGACAGGAGTCATTACTGCTAACATCAATATCCACTAAGCAGCACAACAGGACTCACAGGCTGATGTCTCTCACTATATGTCCAGTTAATCAGATACTTAAAATACTGGAGAAGTTTGCACTGTGGGCAATGCTTTCTCTCCCCATCACACCAGAGAATTCACACAAGCTCCCGTACACTCAGAGCCCAGAGGCAGCATTTCCTAGGAACAATAATGAGCCTTCAGGAAAGTGAAGCTACACAGCTCACGACATTATGATGTGGGTTTTTTAAAATACTGATTTTGGAGAACATCTTCAGAACTATGAACACTATGAGGTCCTCCCGAGACAGTCTTGAAACATGAGAGACTGAGTGAGAAACATTCCTGACCTTACATTAGCTGCCCCTTATGGCACCTGCCACATCTCCCACGTGAATTGCAAGCCGCACAGCCTCAAATCATATAGCTGAAACAGAGCTCTGCTCTATTTTGGACATGCATTATTCCCATAGCACGTTCCCTGTATGTTCAGTACATTAAAATTTTATTGCTTTTTTTGTTTGTTTGTTTTTTTAATCAAACACAACCACTCCTTAGGTTACTAAGCCCTACCCAGGTTTAAAATGAATAAATAGTAGGGAATACAGGACTGTTTGAAAGGAATTTAGTTGCACATCTAAAATCACTGACAAGGAAATATGTACATCTGCTTGGAATTTAAACATGCAGCCTACTCACAGTTACCAACACTTGAGGTACAAAACAGATCACAGCAGCAAAAGAAATCAAGAGGGTGTTTCAGTTTGAGGCCAAGTATCACCCACCCTAAAGAGGACGGGGTAGGTACGTCAAGTGTTTTTAAAGCACTCTTATTGGATGAGGAAGCACAGGAGTGCTGCTGATTGTTCAGTAATCATTTCTATATGATCCTCAAGGGTAGCTCACCAGTGCTATGGGGTAATCTAGTCTAGGAAAAAAAGTGGAGAAAGGGCAGAAGAGTTCCAATCCAGCAAAACAGAGGGATGCAGAGGAATGATTCTGGCTGTCCACACACCACCACTGTTCCAGAGAAGCTCGGGTTTCACCAAGCCCTCAGCAGCTGCTTCAGGAAAGGCAATGCCTCCTTGCCTCACAGCAATCCTCACACAACAGTTGTCCACCACCATCTTTGATTTAACTTCAGATTCATGATTTTTTTTTCCCATCCAGAGCTTAGAGGCCAGTAATAACAAAGGATAAATAAAAACTTGATAACAAAGGATAAATAAAAACTAGTTGGAGACACGTTTGACACCTGCACATCCCATCATCAGTCATTTGGCCTCATTCCATACCTCTCAATTTGAGGTTCCAGCGAACAATAGCAAAGATGGGCTTTTCTAAGAATTCAGTCATGTCCAGCTTCACTTGTCTGATGAGAAAAACAGCTCAGTTATAACCAAGACAGAAAAGAAAAGCAAACTTCCTACAAATGACGCATAAAGAGGAAGGAAGGTAAATTGAAACAGAAAACCCACACCACAAAAAAGCCACACACCCCCAAAGCAGCCCTTCCTGCACTTTGCAATTTTTTTTTTTTTTTTTTTTGAATCAAAGCAGTTCTCATGATGAAGCTAGAGACTTTCATGAGAGAAATTAGCACTGGGGAGGTCACTTTTGAAAAGAGGAGTAAGGGACTGGACTGCCAATGGATTTGGCATTTGGCTGCACACAGTGCAGCTAGGCTCACTACAAGTAAGTTGTTCTGGCCTCACACTGAAATGTAAAGGTCACTCCTCCTTGGAGATGCGTTTACACAGTAAGATAGATTTTCAAAGGAAAAGTGCCACTAAATTAAAGACAAAGTGTTCAGATTTATTTGGAAATTCACAGTTTCTAATCGCACTACAGCTCTGTAGTTACAAACTCTTGTTCCACAACAACATATGCTGCACTCAGGTATGCATTTTCTTCATCCAGGTTTAAAACCCTTAAATCCAGGTTCAACAAATCTGGTTCATGTGCTCTGACTGGCTAATTGTGCAGATCAAATCCAAAAGTACATCACCTTAAAGTATTCATAAACTAACAAGAAAGCAGCAAAACAAAACACCAAAAACAAAGGCTTTAAATAAGTCACATACAATACCAAGGAAAGGCATTAGATCTGTTAAAAAGGGTACCACTAAAAGTGCTCAATAAGTTAACTTTTTTTTTTTTTTTTTTTACAATGTGAACCTGTAACATTTGTCAAAAGGAATAACCTTTTGTTCCACTCACTCAGATCACACATTTTCCCAATCACACATCCTATAGTATCCAAATATACAGTCACAGTCAAAAATAAAAAAAACTCTTGTACGAAAATATCAACCATACAAACACTGCACATTTGTTAGCCAATACAAAAGCAAATGCTACGGAAATACCCACTTTGAACCAACCCGACTGGTCAGACTTCAAGGCTTTGCAAACGCAGCACACCCAGAGCTGCCTTGGAAAACTCTGCCTCGTCTGCCCCAGTGCAGCCTCGTGCTCTCCAGATGAGCTTTCTCCTCAGCTCCAGCACAGAAAGAAATGGAGCGCCCTCCATTCAGCTCTGTTGGAAAACTACAGCAGTCCATTTTGATAACAAAGGCATTCATCATCACAAGATGCCATTGTTCACAA